GGAGGAGGTGAGGCAAATAATGATTCATGAGCGCGCATTTCTTCAGTAGTAGTATATATTTCATCGCATGTTGGCGGATTCAGAATCATGGGGACTTTCCCCTGGTTCTAGCTGACCGCAATTACCATCAGTCCGGGATGTATTTAACCGCAGTTATGTCCAGAGACGGTCGCAAAAGTCCAAGCATGAGGACACTGGCGAAATTCCTGAATGTGGCTGACTGCATCTGAGCGCAATTAGGACTGGTTCTGGGATGTATCTAACGACAATGACGTCTAGATACAGTCACAAAACTCCTAGTGTGTGTACACTGCCACATGCAATTGACAGAAACGATCGGTTGGCATGGATTGCGGGGTTCTTACACTCCAAGCACAGAGGCTGCCTGGGTTTCTCGATTCCGGTGAGCAGCTGGTGTTTCCCATTTTTTTAGTTTTATTTTATGTTTTTAAATTTTAATTTTTAAAGGCTAATTCCTGAAGCCCAACCAATTCAATGTTTACCTGTGGAATCTGGACAGGACGGCCTTTCAGGCCTTTTGTTATTGTCATTTCTAGTATTACGGGGAACCCCCGTAGCAGCCATATCCGTGCTCAAGCCTCAAGCCTCCAACGAGGGAACATGCGGGAGCTGCACCCACCAGCAGGTGCGATACCTGCTACAGCAGGTGGGCGATACCCCAACAAACAGAGCACACGTAATCTCAAAAATAAGTTAAACGTGGTACTCAAAAAATTACTCCGAGAACCCCAAACAAACAAAAAGCACGCTCGAAGAATTAATCCGCGAACAATCGAACAAACGAAACCCGACTCGTATTATGGGGCAATTCTTCAAGGACAAACTATTTGCCTTTACTTCTTAGTTGTTGCCACCGTCGATTTGTTTCTCTTACCCTTCTTCTCTTCTTTTTTTCTGTTTCCCTACTTTTCTTTTCTTTTTTTTCTTTTTTTTTTTCTTTTTTTTCAAGCTGTAGACGATGGACAGCATTGATTAGTATTTTTTTTCAAGCTGTAGACGATGGACAGCATCGAACGAGGGGATATTAGGTGGAGAAGGGAGGGGTAGATTTTACGCTCATGTTGGGTCCCCAGTCATTTCACGTTGCCTTGTATTTTTTGTTGTTCGTGAGAAATCTCCTCTTTTTCATGCTAGCCTTTTTTCCTTTGAGAGGCAATGGGCCTCGCTGCACTACTCTCGAAATGTGCAAAACGATAGCGAATCTTCTGCTAGAACATGGAAAGATACATCGCCATGATTTTTGTCTTTTGTGCATTTCGAGAGTAGTGCAGCGAGGCCCAATGTCAACAACAACAACATTCGGGAGCGCACACTCTCTATCTCAATTTGTTCAAAAATTGTTTTTTACATGTCCTCATATGGGATGCTGGGCCCAATTCCCAGCACGTGCTGCTCCCCACGAATAGATCAGAGCACGTCTCTTTCAAATTTAAAAAAAAAAAAAAAAAAAAAAAAAGCATCGGCTAGCGGCCTCGCTCCACCAGTCACCAGACGCGCAAAATTAGAATGAATCTACTGCTAGAATACTGAAAGATACACCGCCTGTGACCACCATAATTTTTGTCCTTGTGCATGCGGTGAGTGGTGGAGCAAGGCCCTGTAGCTGCTGGCAACTGGCATTCGCACTACCGTAGCCACGAGCTATAGACAGAAGACCATAACTCCCTCCCATGCTTAGACTGATAATATACCCACGAGGCAGAATTCGCCCGATGCTTCCTCTCTGCTCCCCGGTCCTACCGTCTTCCCCAGAACACAACGTACTCTTATTTTGGCTGTATCTGACCGGAAATATAGCTTTGATACATTCATTATCAGGATGCATTATGTTCGGGGGAACTTGAAAGATGGTAGCCTCATGCCTTCTTCTTCTACTTCTTCGGCAGTAAGGAGACTCCTTGACTGGTGGCAGAGTCGGCAGGCCTGTCTGATCGGGTCAGGTGTGAGCGTGCCTGGGTACACAGCGAGACGCAGGAGAGCCGTGCTTGCATGGGGTTAAGTACCTGTCTTGGGTCTTAACTTTCACCCCAATCAGCTTAGCTGTTTAGTTGAGTGCACAGCTCCCATGAGGGAGGACACGCGTTCTATTCTCAAGGTCAAATCATAAACGAAAAAATGCAGCTCTTGCTAGCGCAGTTAACCAGCAGCGAGGAGACACATTGACTGGTGGCTGCGTCGACAGGCCTGTGTGGTCGGGTCAGGTGTGAGCGTGTGTGACTGGGTACTACATCGGGATGCGGGAAATCTGGGCTGGGTGGGTAAGTACTGATCTTGGTTCTTAACTCTCACCCCAGTCAGCTTAGCCGTTTGGTTGAGCATGAGGCTCCCATGAGGAAGGCCGCATGTTCTATTCTTGAGATGAGATCATAGATGAAAATTTGCACTTCTTGCTAGCGCAGCGCAACCGGCAGCGAGGAGACCCATTGACTGCTGCGTGTGTCGATAGGCCTCCCACTGTGGTCTGGTCAGGTACCGTTGTAAAATTCGAGCACCTTGTTTTGCTCATTTACATTTACTACGTCGAAACATCACATGCAAAAAAAAAAAAAAAAAAAAAAAAAGAAGAAGAAGAAGAAGAAGAAGAAAAGAAAAAGAAAACATCACATGCTCGCAGATTTGGTTACTATCATAGGTCCTCAGGATATTGTGTTCACTGTTCAGAGAAGCAGATAGGTAACCTGAGTACCATGGCGGAATATATTGTGTGGTATATCGACTACAACGCAGCTTGGAACGATTGTGTACAAAACTATAATGAGTACAAACACCTTGTAGAATCTGATGTACACACGACGTGGGAAATCCGCGCTGAGGTGGGGTTGAGTCTTGGGCCTACACTTTCACCCCAGTCAGCTTAGACGTTCAGTTGAGCGTTCACCCACCTCCCATGATGAGGGAGGCTGTGTGTACGATTCTTGAGATCAGTTCATGGATTAAAAATGCAATGCAACTCTTCTTCTTAGGTTGGGAGGATTGCAACTCTTCTTCTTAGGTTGGGAGGATTGTCGACGGGCCGCAAGGCAGGTTCATGTGGGAAGCCCCCTGAGGATGATCGGAGCGCAACGATCGGAACGCGTCGGGGAATGTGCGCGTGAGCTGAGATTAGTACTCGCGGCTATGTAAAGGAAGAACTACCGAAGCGTGTACGAAAGGCAGTTGGCCCCTGTTTTCATTCTTCTTCTTCTTTCACCCCAGTCCACTTAGCCGTTTGGTTGAGTGTTTGCCTCTTGACGTGGAGGTCACGTGTTCGATCCTTGGATCGGTGTGGACGGACAGATTGCTGTCTGGAGTAAGTTTCACTTCCTACCTGTGTGGCAACCAGCAGTGAGGTCGTACACTGTATGGTGGCTACGTCTACACACCCTGGTTGGGTGCGCGTGTGTGACTGGTTACACCGGGTCACGGGGAAAAACGAGTACCCGTGCTGGGGTGGGGTTAAGTACTCATCTTGGGACTTAACTTTCACCCCAGTCCACTTGGCCGTTTGGTTGAGTGTTTGCCTCTTGACGTGGAGGTCGATCCTTCGATCGGTGCGGACGAACAGATTGCTGTCTGCAGGAAGTTTCACTTCTTCTTCTTCTTCTTCTTTGAAAAAAGAAAAGAAAGCAAGGGTCGCATGATCTCAGTGTTCGAGTCGAGCCCATTTTCGAATTGCCTGCTAATCTTCACGCCGTTTCTAAAAGAGCTAAAGTTGCTGCTAGAGCCTTCTAAGTTGGAGGTCACAGGTTCAAATCTGTACAGTGTTGAATTCTATCGAGAAGCCATGCCTGATCTTGTACGGTGTCGAATCCAATCGAAACTTGCACTGAAGGAAGGAGGAGAAAACTTTTCCCCACAAAAGAAGTAAGCCAGGTGCATCAAGAGGTGGAGGATATGGTGATTCAATGAAGAAGCAATGATATAAACATCAACGGGCCTAGCTCAGTTGGTACACCCCCCCTGGACTGTTGAAATACAGACCCAAGTTCGAATCCAGAATCAATCAGATGAGCAGAAGAGAAAAATTCTGGATTACCTGCTGGTCAGTTCGACGATGAAGAAAGAAAGAAAAACAACAATGATATGCACAACAACAACAGCAACGATGACCCCGACACCGCAGAAACACACCAAACACGAAAGGAAAGGGAGCCTAGCTGGTTCAGGGAGGGGAGTGGGAAAGCCAGCCCAGCCCCACAGCTTTTTCTTAATCTTATGTGATAACCCGCCTCCCCCTTTTTCCTCCATCTATCAGGTCTTGTTCTCGTTTTCGAGGGGGCAGTGTGAACGAGATGATGTGTGATCTCTCCCTGCTCTTTTCGATTCTCTCCCCCTTCTCCTTCACTTCTCCCGGATGTGCCATTCTGCCTTCGTGTGGTCAGCTATGGAGCTCGGCGAGGAAGGTGGTGGGGGGGGG